CCGCTTTTCCACCGGCGGGCAAGTGAAACAAAAGGCTGATCGGTGGCGCGCAGATTTCAGCACCACAGAGGGTGGACAGCGCTCCGGGTAGCCTATGTGAGGATGGACAGCTCCCAACACACACACACACACACACACACACACACACACACACACACACACACACACTGGAGCAAATATGTTCATATAAATAAGGAGCTTTCAAATATTGTATTTTGTTTATTGTTAAATGCAGGAGGAAAAGAGACAGCACACGAATGACGGCACACGAATTACAGTTTGAAACACAAGAGCAAAAGTTCAGTGTGAGAACGCCACCAGTATAGTTTTAATAACATTATAGGCTATCTATCTTTTTTTTTTCTTAAAAAAATAAATCTGCAACTTTAAACTTTTCATTTCTGGGGTGTGCAGATCGGAGAAGATAGGAAGATCATCTCTTGGCATTCACCGCGTGCCTTAATTGTAAGACATTAAATCAAGGTCCGCTGTGAACACGGAGAGACACAACCCGCTCATCTGTGTGTTTGCGCGTGTGTGTGTTTCCGTCCACCAGCTGCATCCACTCTACTGTGGGAAAAGGGCAGACACCTCCAAACCTTTGCATAAAACCTGTTACGACAAATAATAATCAGTCTTTATTTCTGCAGCCTCTGAGACCTCTGACGTGTAACTAAAGATGTTTTTGGGATGTCAAGTTTGGCCAAAAATGTAAAGAATTTTTTTTAAAATCCAAAGCATCCCGTATGCATCAAAAGAGATCAGATCCTCTCCCGGTGATTGTACAGGCCTACCTTAGAGTGTGTGTGTGAGCGGGGGAAAAACATTCAGCTGGAGAAAAAAAAGAGGTTAAGTTACAGGACTTTAACGCAGAACAGCCAGTTTGGAGGCAAAGTGATTATACGTCCCAGACCGCTTTAGCAGTCAAAAATGACTTGATCCGTGTCCGTCGACTGCTTTTTGTCCAAAACCGAGGAAGGCATTAAAAAAAATCCTCCATTATCCCATAGTGCACCTAAGGAAAAAGAAAACACAAATGCGTCATATTGAATTGCAAATGACAAATTCTCATATTCCACATTGACCTGTTCAGAAACATCACTCGGCGTCCAAAAAAGGAGGAAAAAGGTCCGCGTGCAAAATATTGATTTTCCTATAGCCTCATAACGCCCTCCTCACATCATCTATAGATACACGCACACACGCACAAACAAACGCCTGCAGCCTCTCTTTGCGGGTCACAGGTTAAAATTGCCGCAAATCGCAAACCGGGCAGCCGAAGAACCCTGAGAAACTGCCGGTGTCCTGAGCGCATCGGTGCGCACTGTGCGCGTGCGTCCATCCGTAGCAAACTCACCGGGACATCGAGACCGAGCTGAGCCCGGCGCGGGCACCACCTAAATGGGACTGATCTCTCTCCGTCCGGTCTTTTCCTCTGACTTTGGGATTAATGGTGCTCCAGCCAAGCAAATGAGGCATCTGCCTTCAGCACAAGAGGATTGGGATGAAAGGGGGGGGGGGGGGGGTGCTGACGTCACCAGGCAAACAGATGTTCCTCTATATTACCCAGCGTCCTCCTCATCGCTGCCCCGTGTCCTTGAAACTAGGAGGGAAATTGACGACTTCCCAATCCGAGAATTAACGTTTATCGCCGACATGTGTTAATAGTTCTGCTGCTGGTTGGTGTGTGCGTGTGTGTGTTTGCGTTGGTGCGTGCATGCGGATGTGCGCGTGCTGGCAGAGGAAATGCCAACAATGGTCTAGCAAATTGTGAAGCCCCAAATCTGGCATTGGCTGTGATCAGTTATGCAACATTGCACTATTCAAAAAAAAAAGAAAAAAAAGAAGAGAGAACACACGTGTACCTACACTCACACATAGACCCACACTCACGTGGGCATGCGCACACGCACTCCCTGCACACAGTAACGATGGAGAGATGCTTGTGTCATTCTGATCGCGCCGCTTGACGTGAGTTTGACAAGTGCTGCATTTAGCTTCTGGAGATGAGCTGCAGCTGATTTTTACTCCCTCAAAAATATTATTATTATTTTTAATCAGTGACGTTCACTAAACTGCAAGGTGCATTATGCGTGCTATGGCCAGATTATATAACGCGCACGCTGAATGTAACGGGAAAGTGGCTCAGACGTGCATAAATGCGAATTCCTCTCCTGTCGAATGCCTCAACTGAGTGGGAAACTGACAGAGATCCTAGAATCTGTGCAATTCAGCTATAACCCGGTGAAATCTGCAGCGATGCAGACTTCACGGAGCACACGGTGATTTGCATATCTTGTAAACTAGAGCGAAAGCAGCTTAAATTCAACCCAAGTCACTGCTGTTTATGAGTAAGAGTCGCATCGGACACCTGCCCACAACTGTGAGGATCTCCTGAGCTCAGCGTTTAAAAAAAAAAAAATTACGGCTCCTGTTTTACAGTTAAAGAGCGCGCGCACACACAAAAAGCACCGTGGAGTGGGAAAGAGAAGGCGCAGGCTCGTAGATTGTAGGCTAATTGCAATGCATCACCCACTCGCTGGAACACAGAGGAGAGGGATACAGAAACAAAGGGAATCGCCATTTTAGACGGAAACGTCCCTATCCCCTGAAAACAGTCCGACTCTCGCGTCGACCCCTGTTTGGAGCTCCATCGCGACTTGTCAGCAAATCACCATATTTCACCAGATCTTCTCTCTCTCCCTCTCCCTCTCTCGCCTCCCAGAAGAAAATGACCCCTATTGTCCTCACGCGCCGTGCAACGAACAAACGATGAGGCTCAGATATCCTTCGTCCTCTTCCCCCTTCTGAACGATCATGAAAACATAAAAACAAATCCCGCTCGTTAAGCCTGCTCGGCTTTTTCTAACGTCTTTACTCATCCTTTTTTTTAAACTGGTAGTGGATTTTTCCCTGAAGCCCGCAATAACAATGGCAAGTGCAGCGTGCACAGGAACCCGTTATCTGCACGGAGAACGATCGCCATCCGTTTTATTCTCTTAAAACGCACGCGTTACCAACGGCGGGAGCAAAAAGACGCAAATCAGCTCATCAATAATTGCTCAAAGGCTTGATTATAAAGCAAACGCCGGCGGAAAATACTCACCGTGGAAATGGTCCACGCCATATGGTGGATCCCAAGCACACCGTGCGCTCTGCTCGTATTTATCCGTGCCCTGCTGTTTCTTTCACTTCATCTGAGCGTTATTACTTCACCGCAGCTCTAGGCAGTCGCTGTGTATTCCCGGTTTCTCTCGGCGTGTAGCAGCGAACGAGCAAAGACTCCGTGTGGCGAGAAGCTGACGCTACCAATGAGAGCGACGCTGTAGCCTCTGCAAAGCATGGCTGCGCTTTCTCGCTTTTTTTTTTTTCAAAAAGAGGGCAGGTCGCTCTGTGCATTACAATGAGTAAAATCTCTCTCTCTCTCTCTCTCTCTTTCTCTCTCTCTCTCCTCTCACATGCCCGCGCACAACACGCGTTTATCCATACAAATGCGCGCTCGCTCGCAGACACTCAAATATGCGCGTTCTGGAAGTTCTATATATCCAGTGATTTAAAGCGATCATTTATCTGATTTGCTCATTATCATTATTATTATTATTATCATTATTATACACGTCAGACTGCGTTTCAGTGGGGATTTTAGCAGCATGTTGTAGTTTATGTGGTCTATACGTGGGAATAACTGCTCTATAATCTGGTGAAGCCTGACGGTAGGACTGTGTAGTCTGGTCGCCTTCTTGCCGGCCACAATTAATCATGTTTAACGCCATTTGTCTTGAGAGGTTCATTTCAGTTTCACGCATCAGGCCACCGGTTTTGCAACTCAATTTCTATAGGCTGTTAGTTCAATTGTGTGTTGTCTCTGCATAGATTAAGGGGGAATATTTTAAGGGGGGGGGGGTGTTGTCTCTGTAAATAGACCCATAAAACTTGTTTTGCTGTTAAAGGCCTGTAAATAAAGTTAAGCGTTTTCTTTACACGCATTTTCTTTCTTTCTTGTATTTCTTTCCTTTTCTTACGGCCTCTTCCTTTACCACACGTAACTTCTGACATGCAAAGGCGTAGCTTCCTTTTAGGGAGTCTTGCTTGTGCATTCAAAATTGGAGCAGTAATTGATTGAAGCAAGTGGCAGTCCTGCACTGCTCGTTTGTGTCCCCTTCACTTCCTGCCGTGATTGACTTCCAGGCAAAGATCCAATCGAAACCACGGCCCCACGGATGATGTCATTAGAGTAACCTTGCTAACCCTGTGGCCCAGGCGCAATAATGCCCGCTTTACCTCCAACTTATTAACGTATATCTGACTCCAGCGTTAAAATCACCCCACAGGTGTTATTCACGCGCTATTTCTTCGAGTTCTTTCCTTTCTGTCATCTCGTCCTCCTCCGAGCATCCATCCTCTGTCTCACAGTTTCCCTCCGTTACCGTTTCATTGTTTCACTCTGTTACAGTGTTGGCCTTTGACGGCTGCAAGAATCCAGTCAGTGCAATGATGCAACGTTCACCCAAGTTGTGATGCAACTCGGGTGAACATACCACTGAGAGCGTTAACGTTTTGTCAACATTTTTCTTCTTCATTTAAAGCGTTAGAGGAGAAATTCTGTTCAGGCTTGCATCAGGCGACATATAGGGAAGTTTGAAAGCTGCTTTTTCTCTGGCAGAGGGAGGAGGTGGAGGGGTGTAAGGCTATTGTTCCCGCTGAAACAATGGAAGCTGCGGGGCGACATGCAGCGGTGCGCACATGAATGGCAGGGCTCTGGGATGTGTGTGGGTCAGTGGCCCGGGGTCTCCGTCCCAAAGCCCCTTTCCCAGCGCCTCACAATGAACCTGCGCAAGGTCGGGGCTCCTAGGGGTCACAGGCCAACCCCTTTTGTCCCTCACTTCAAAACACATAGCCTAAACATTTATTAATCAAGAGGCAGCCGGTGGGCCTCTCTTTTGAGAAAAAAAGGGGGTTGAGAGGAAGGGGGGGCGTCAAGGGTGGGAAAGAAGTAGGGAGGAAACAGAAAGAAATAACTTGTGGCTGCAGTTGCAAATTCCATCATTTGGACAGAGGTGGAAGTTTGTAAAAGTTGTGGGCTAATGGTAGAAGTTGGGACTCCGCGCAGAAGGCGGATGGGAACTCACGGACAGCAGGATTTGGACTTCTTATCGAACCGAACCTGTTTGTTTCGCACTTCTGCTGGATTTGCGATCAACACGTCCGGATAGGGATTTCTGTCGCACACCGACACGTTGTTCTGGACTCGAGAAGAACAAAAGAGAGTACAACAGAAATATAAACCGATCTGCGTGAAGTAAGGGAGTCGCATAATCGCCGTGACTGCCGTTCTTTAACGTCAAAACACAGAGAAACTGCCGCATCGAAACGCCCTTTGCGTGCGCAGCGTTCTGCACATGGAGCCTATGGGAACAAGTGCCACAACAACAACAACAACAACAAAACTAGATGTAAGGCGACATCGAAATGCGGTCTGTGCTGTGCGTCTTCGATCGAGGCTGCTGTCTAAGCCGACAAAAAAAATCTGAAGCAGGCCTTCCTCTGCAGCATGGCCACATCAACCGTACCTGTGTGAGAATGTCCTGACAACCACATTCATTTTACTCAAGATCAAACTATATGTGACCCTATGGAGTAAAATTAGTTAATTAACTAATTTAAAAAAAACAACAACAAGATATTAATTTCATTTCAAACCTGTGTGGCATGCGTGAGCATTAAAAGCTCCCAAATAAGCGTCGGTGTTGTTGGTCTTTTATTTTTGGCAGTCAGTGAAACGAATTGGAAGTCAGGTCGAAACGCGAACGTGCTGTCTGTAGGAAAGTGTGTGCAGGGTCGCTGTGAGCTATGTGCTCTGCAGTAGTAAACGTTGTAGTTGCATCAGTTTTAACCAAACTGAGATGCCTTGGTAACCGTTGCCTTTCTATCAGTCTCCCCTCCCTTTTAATTTTTTTTTTTTTTTGTATCATGCATCAGGCCTTACCCCAACATTACACAGCCTGCACAGTGGGGCTCATTTTGTGCTACAGTTTACTCCATAAAATCTATGCAGACTTGGTTTAATATGCTTATAATTTTTGTCTTATTTTTTTTTTAGCATATTAGTTCCAGTAAAAAATGTTATAACACAATAGTTAAACTGTAGTTAATATTTTATTTTATATATTTTTTGGTGGGGATATTATTATCCATGCTTTGATTTTGCTGATCAATGCCAAGTTATTTTTAAACCCAAGTTCAAATTTGTTGCATATTTTTATGTGTTAAAACGTGTGGCAGTATCATTCACTTAACAGATTCTGATGTATTTCCAAATGGCTTTTGTAATTTCTCAAAATTGATATTAAATCAAGTTAGGAGCAATCACAGCTGTCCTCAATGATCTTGTGAGGAAGCGGGGAAGAAAAAAAGGCATTTATTTTGGTTTTCTGGCTTAAATTAAAAGATGCCCCATCTGTGATGGCACATAAGCAACATAGGCAGGTAAACATACCTGCAGTACCACATAAGAAAGAGGGGGCATACTGTGCATTTCCACAATGTGAGTGGAAATATGGAGAATATTTAGCAGTGGTAGTGAGACATTGTGCGCCTTCGGTAGTGACAATTTCTTGCTGTTACTTTACATTCAAAAATCATCCACGGGATGACTATAAAGATGCAAACCGCTGTGTGGATTTATTATTGCCTTTGGAATATGTTTATTCTTTAAAAAATGTTTATTAAAAAATAATAAATACACAGTATTCAAATTATTCAAATTGTCCTTTTGTAAGTGGCTTAAAAAAGTGCACAAACACACACATTTCACCATGTGTTTCTACAACCTATATAAAAACATTTATATTATAAAATGCATATATGTGGCTGTTCTGAGTCCTTACAGATGTCATTAGTAGGTTGTTACGAACAAAATAGTTAACTATTAAATTTTAGTAAGCTCCACATATTTTTGTATTGTGCTTTTTCATCACAGATGCTTATTTTCTGACATCTCTATGTGTTCAGTCATCAGAAATTATAGAAACTTTTCAACATCCAGTGTGTTTAAAAAAATAAATAAAATAAAAACACTATATGGGTTACAGCGTTATATGTGCCACCAGTCCTGACCTGCAATGAGCAGACTCCAGAATTAGAGAATAACCCAATAGATGCAGCACCTGCTTTGTTTTAGGACATGACCTGATTGCAATTTTTTTTTTTCCAAGCAAATCCTGACAGTAAGGTTTGCCTGCTTAGCTTGAGCAGGGACAGTACGCTCCCCAAGCTAACATCAAACTCTAAACAGCAGTTGTTATTTCATGGTTGCGTGCAAGCAGAACCAGGTCATCTGCACTGGGTTACAGGCCTGCTGGCTGTGTTTGTTGTGCCCTCCAAAGTGTGCTGCATCCTTCCTCATGCTGCAGAGAATTGTGTTTTTGCCTTAGTTAAAATAAAGAAAAGAGATGTTGATTTCCTAATGATTACCTAATATGCTCTTATATTTGCACATTTAACAATGTGCAAATATAAGGAAGCGTTGCACTTTCTAGCAGCAGACACTGATATGTTCTTTATAATTCAATAAAACACTGACCTTTTTATTTCATGCAGTGGAAACGTTAAGTTGCAGGATTATGCTATATACATGTAAATATTAAGAGGTAACTAAAGTCTATCTGTAATTACTTAGATAGTACTCTGCAGCCTTGTAGTGTTTTGTATGAGCGAAGCAAGGGTGTGTGGGACCTTCCCCTTATGACATTAGCAGGGGGTCAAATGTGCATGTAGGGCACCTGGCTCTGCACCTCCCCTCTCTCTGTGATGTTAAATGTCAACCAGCAGCATCCAGAGAAAGCAAGGTGAGCCTCCATTCTAATGCTTATGGCAGGAGATCATAGCGTCTGACTCCCAAAGCCATGTTTCTCTTGTGTAGTGCAATTAAAACTGTTAGAGAGGGGAAATTTACAGAACCATTAACCTAAGGTTTTCTTTTTAGTGAAGTCGATAGTCTGAGGGTTGCTCTGCTGAAAGGAAAACCCCAGGCTTTTTTTTCTTCTTCTTCTGGCTTTCTTCTTCTTCTCCTTCTCCTTCTTTTTCTTTTTAATAAATGTAAAACGAGCGGCTTAATCTTGATTTGTTTCGGAAAGATTTGCGTCTTTAGCCTTAAAGTGCAGTGGATTGCCTCCTCTGCATTGCCCACCTTGAACATAAAACAGTAATTGAATTAAAAATTGAATTCATTTATTTTGGACACACGTGCTCATCCTTCTGGAAATCATTTTGCTCTAATAACTTGTATTCCAGTGCTGCCGCTGCTTCGCTTTGCTCGGTCGCAGTTATTTATTTTTTTCTTTAAAAACAGATGCAGCGGGAGTGATATGATCAGATTGCTGATTTTATAAGGTACAGTGTGGAATAATGTATAGCTGTGTAACTGCGTCGCACACTTATCCAGTTTTCCCTCTGATTCCAGATACAGTCCGGTGTCTGCTTCAAACCCGAGGCGTACAGGAGGTTAGATGTAAATCTGCACCATCACAGAAACATCCTCACTCAGAAATGGCAGTAGTCAGGACCTTCTGCTGCACTTCTGCTGCTCCCTAATAGAAAGCCTATTGAGGCCCAATCAGCAGGTCTGTTCCAGCCTTGTAAGTGGATTTCTCCCATACCCCCAAGGTTTGTGAAATAGGGGTCAATGGGTCTGTTATTGTTTTTCTCTGCCTCTTTATCCCTACATAACTCTGTGATGTCAACAGCAAAGTGACAGAGTGAGCTGGGAGCATGGAAAAGGGAAAAAAAAGAGGGGAAATAACTACTATCATGATCTTGCGTGTGTTTCTGCTCACAACAGGGCTGCAATTGTTCCAGCGGGCATGGATGCATCCCCATATGAAGAATGGAAAGAGGTAAATATCACTTATCCCCCAACAGGTCGAAATGAAACAGCAGCAGCTGGCAGAGAGCTGCTGAAAATATTGAGTTTAGTCTGAAATTTATCACTAAACGTAAGCCTCACTGTCTCTCAAACGCTATACACTTTACTGTGTAATAAGGGTCTATGTGAAATTATTTAATGTGCGAACAGTGTTGTCAAACGTGCCATTCGCGAGATCTATTTTTCACATCTCTCAGCCGGGTTGCCATTGTCTCGTTTAATCCGGTTATATCGTGTACAGATTTTCACATACATTGAGTTTTTTTGTTGTTTCTTTTTCTTTCTTTCTTTTTTACCTTGCTGCTTTAAAAGACAAATGGGAACAGATGTGACTCTGAGCAGGGACGTTTTGAACAGATTTGCTTCTTATGTCAGAGGAGAAATGGCATTGTTTTCCGTTGCGTTACAACCTGGTGCCATTTATTAAATAAAAGTGGGGATCCGTTATGAGGTGGAATTTTATGCCTCTGTCTGAAATGCGATCATTGCATCAAAGCACAGCCATAAATTTCTTTTTGATATAATTGTATTAATGCAGCAAGTAATGGATGAGCATATGTTTCACAGTGATTACTATCCCTCTCTGACTGTGTGTCCTAGTTGCCTTCCCATCGCCTGACTATCGGAATGAGAATATGTGCCTTGAGTTAATGCTGATTGCAGCAGCTGCCAACACATGAATCTCCATGGCAACAATAACGGTTGCCAGGCAACCATGCTCTTTTAGGGACACTGAAAGAAGCCCAAAGGCGTACTAAAAATATATATATGGGTATAGTGCTTCTTGAACACCTCAGCCGTATGCACGCCATGCACAGAACAACAAAGAGTTAAACGCTTAAGATGGCGACGTGTTATTTTCTCCTCTTCAGCCGCAGTGTGTGTGTGTGTGTGTGTGTGTGTGTGTGTGTGTGAGAGAGAGTGTGTGTGTGTGTGTGTGTGTGTGTGTGTGTGTGTGTGTGTGAGAGAGAGAAAGAGAGAGAGCTCACGCTGATGTTACCCTACTTTGGCATGAGCGCTAAACGGCAGCCCCAAACGCTGCTATCTTTTTATGACATTAACACACAGAGCCGTGTCAGAGGACCTAATGCTTTTATGAGGTTATATTTGGAGGCTGTGGACAGTCTGGGTTAAGAAGATAGTGACATTTTTTTTCTTTTTTCATTTCTTTTTAACACTTGGAAAAAAAATGGGGCAACTGTCAGCCATCTTGGCTCCTGCATCGAGCTTCCCTCGCAGCTCGCACAGACCCAGGTGGTATGCGCACACGCTGTGGAACAAAGCATTCCATCAGCGCAAGTGACATCACTGCAGTCAGCTCAGCTGTTTCTGCCTGCGCTATAAATAGTGTGGTGGAAAGAGCAGATTGCCTATGCAGAAAATATTTAACTCCTGACCCCAAGCCTTAAGAGATTTTTTCCTTTTTTTGTGCTGAAGCGGTTAACTAGATCACAGCCAGTGCATCTAACATGGAATACGGCTGATATAAAGTCTAATCCCGTGCTCTGCATTGACTATATAACAGTAACAGGAGTTAAAAAGTGACACTTTATACCAAAATATCCAAGTCCACTTATCCACTTCTTACAGTATTAAATGTAAGATCTGAAATATACATGCTATCTAAGATATTAGCATTATTGTTGTCACAAACAAAAGTTTGAGTTTGCCTCTAAAACATAAAAGTTCTCTATAGACTTCAGATTAGGTGGGAGGCTGGTTTCTTGTAGATACAGATATTGCAGCCTCTAGTTGCCAAGCATGAAATTACACAGAGCAGTGACTTTTAAATACCTCCAGCACCTCAGCTGATAAAGTAACTGTTATCACAGGCAGGGATCACGCTCGCTGACAGTACTTCATTTGTTATGTCATATAATTAGATATATTTTGGCAGCAAATCGTTTTGTTTTTTTTAAGATAATTTGCATATGTATTTTAGACCTTGTCAGCTAAGAGTTGCCTGCACAGAAAGAGATGAATGTTGAGGCAACGCCTGGTGCAAATACAAAGATAAACCAAGGAATAAAGCCAGGGGAACCAATCAGAATCTTCAATACTCCAGCTGGTCTCCCAGCTTCCTACATCGTGGCTTTTACATTACTAACCCACAGCACGCTACAGCTGATCTTAGTACACCCTGCCGCTTACTAGTACCGCTGCAGCCTGCGAGTCCAGCCAGCAAACTTGGGGTCGTGGCGTGGCTGGCCAGGCGCCAGGACGTGTGCAGGGGGCTATGCCATGGTGTTGGCTCTCACAGGCTGGCAGCATTGAGGAGCGTAAAGGCATTCAGCAGTGTGAATGTCCCTTTGTCTCAGAGCAGCGTGCCAGGCTAGCTCTAATGAGGCAGCTCTTTGTGGCAGGCCTCTCAACATCAAGTGGGCTGGTGGACTCATTAACCTGACTACTGCAAATAAAGCAGGCAGGCACAAGAGACGCCTATGATAGCACACTTAAGGCCCCGCTGAATCCCCCCACCACCCCCACCACCGCCACAGTCATCCTTCCACCTCCTCACTCTCTTCTTTTCCCTCCAGTCTCTCTCTCAGGTTTCCCAGGGCTCCTCTGATAGGAGGAAACCAGCCACTGGCCTATTTCAGGTGTCCCAAATAAAGATTGGTTGGGGGTGTGATTTCCAGTTTCTATATTCTGTCTCGTTCATACCTTGAGCTTTAATCAGATTTTTGGCTCTGCGCTGTAACCTGGTTTTTGTTGAAGAATGAATGAACTGCTGGAGTCGACTTGCAAAGCGCTACAGAAAACGTTTATGCGTTTATCCACGACGCTTCTCTTTATAGATGCATTTGAGTCAGTCTTTCTTTGTGGTGATAGGAAACCTATACTTCTAAATGTCCTAGAATATTTCAACACAGCTTTGTATGCATTTGTATTTTATTCCCACTGTCTCCCCCAAATAATTGCAATTTGGCTTTATCACCAGCAACGAGAGGGGCGGTAAAAAAGAAAAAGGATAAGAAGGGATGAATAGAAATATGTCAGTACCTTTGTTTTAACACCTGGATAAAGATTTTTCTAACATTTCCCATTTATAGCTCTTTATCTTGATCAGTGACTGTGTTTTGACTGATATGTTTCAGGTGGAATGTGACTTACAAACACGTTTTGACAGTCAAGGTAGACTCTTGCTGCTATATCACTTTCAGTATTAGCTGAACTGCTGTCAGTCTGATTTTAGTTCCATGGCTAAAAGTCAAATCCTTTTATGCCATCTTGAATGTTTTAAACTTATCAACTTGAGCTATGCGCTGATCAACTTGACTTATTTAGGTCAGCTAAGCCTTTATGAGTTGTTCTCCCAACTAATGAAACAGTTGTAATGGTGGGACCAGGGATTGTAAGCGAGTCTGCTGAAATAGATTCGCTAACTTGTTTTGATTAATATTTTTGCAGTGGTTATGAAGTCATGTGGCTCACCGCTAAATTATGTAGCTGAATGAAATTGGGTCGCGAGAAGCTGTTTTCCGCACACCGACAAGGACAGGTCAGATGCTCGTCTCACAAAAGGATAGTCGGCTGTTTATATTTGTCTTTTTATTTATCTCTCATAACCCTGCCGGTTATTAGCGCTCAGCGCTACGGCTTATGGGTGTGGACCTGCTAGATATTGATTCGATGTTAATGTCATGTACTGTTTGATGTATGGCCTCTGAAATTGCTCAAGCATTTGATCAAGTTGCTTGTATGTAGATTAGATTCATTAGATATTCCCCCCACTATTTTTCATGATGTTTCCCCACACTCATTTTACAGCCTCCCATTGTCTCCTCTGCACAGTAAATGATTTTAATCTGGTGATGCTGTGTACTCTTGATAAGCCCTGCACAAATTGAGGCAGCGTCGCTGACGGTGAGGAAGAGGCTAACGCCACAATAAGCTCTAATCGTGCGGGCGCCTCATTTTCTGAAAAAGAATATTCATACCAACATCAAAGGGGTTAGCACTCCTGACACTGACAAATTGCAGACGAGGTTTCATTAATTAAGTAGGCCACTAATGTTTATTTAAATGAAATTTACGGTTGCATTATTGATTCGCCGCCACAAAATTATCTGACATGATGCACATGGATTGTGAGCTGTGGCTCTCTGCAGGAGCAGACAGACAGCGGGAGTGTGGATGGGAGGGAGGTGGATGGAAATTTAGAAGGGGGTCTGAAGGCTGGAGGGGAAACATGAATATGATGGTTAGGAATTTTTACAGCTGCCAGCATGAAGATATTCCTACCTATATATTTTTTCATTAAAGCCATAAAATGCTGAGAAAATGATTTTTTTTTTAAACTACACAGAGTTTGGATTTAAGATTCAAATGATTCTTTTTTTTTTTACCACCTGATGAAAGTAGCAGTAATTGAATAAAGTACACATCCAGTACGCTTCATTCTTTCTGGATGAAAGCAGAGTTTTCTTAGTACAACTGGGAAACAATTTGACTTATTGGTTACTCTTTAAGTAAGACATCTACCTTAATTTACCATATTAGAATGGCTGTTGGTGCCATATGAGCTGGCGAGTTTAAGAAACTGCCAGCTACTGGGATTTTCCAGCACAATCGTCTCTACAGTTTATGGATAATGGTCTGAAAAGGAGAAAATATCCAATAAGCATCAGCTCTGTGTGGAAAAAATGCCTTGTTGATGGCAGAGGTCAGAGGAGAATGGCCAGGCTGCAAGCCGTCACTCAAATGACCACTCGCTACAACCAAGATATGCAGAAGAGCATCTCTGAATGCACAACACAGCAAATCTTAAAACAGATGGGCTACAGCAGCAGAAGACCACACCGAATGCCACCTTTCAGTCGTCACAGGAAGCTGAGGCTACAGGTTACACAATCTCACCAAAATTGGCCAACAGAAAAGTGGAAAAATAATGATACTGATATACTGCAACATTCAGATAGTAGGTCAGAATTTAGTGTAAACAACATGAAAGCATGGTGTTGCTTGTGGTGGTGTAATGGTGTGGGGGATCATTTCTTCTTTTCTGAGCATTGTTTAAACACCGCAGTCTGAGTATTGTTGCTGATATGTCCATCCCTTTATGACAACACTCTACTCATCTTTTGATGGCTGCTTCCAGCAGGATAACATGCCGTGTCACAAAACTCTAATCATCTCAAACTGGTTTTGGGAACATGACTATGAGTTTGCTGTTCTCAAACGGCCTCCACACTCACCAGATCTCAATCCAATACAGCATCTTTGTGATGTGTTGAAATGGGAGATTCACATCGTGGGTGTGAAACCAGCAAATCTGCAGCAACTGTGTGATGCTGTCATGTCAACACAGATGACAAGGTGTGTTTATTAAGGTGTCCAGTAAATTTATTACTCGGTGTGATTTTTTTTCTTTTAACTCATCATGATTCGCCAATGTGTGGTCAGTAACGACACTAATATTTTTGTTGAGTATAACAAGCGGTGCTACCACCAGCAGCCTTTTTGCCCTAAAGATTTGTAGTGACGCCGATCAGTGTGCTAATGCAATGCTCCAGCTGAGTTATGTGTCCTTTTATTATAACAAGGCTTAAATGCAACTATTCATTTTTATTTTCTAAATCAAAAAGTTGATGTCATCTGTCCCACTTTCCAGCATGCTGGCGCTGAAAGAGAAGGTCCCTGTTTACCATGGCTGCAAACCAGTGGCAGGCAGTTGTGTTTCATCTTAGACCCACCAGTTAACTGCTGTTGTACATGAAGTGTTAATAATACTTTATGTATTAATAATGTTATAAAATGTATTAATCGTGGTATATTATTTAACTGACTAGTATTTGTGGTGTAGAATAGCAGGACAACAAAGTTTCATTGTTGAATCCAATAATAGCGCCGATCCCTAGATAGCAGAGACTCATAC